ATATATATATATATATATTCTTAGAGAGAAGATGAAAAGATACCAGGCTGTGTGTTAAGTAAAAAGCTAGAAAGAGAAAAGCCACAAGCCACTGTTACAACAGACATTTTGATTTGTCATAGTGGGAAAGACACACGTGTTACATCTTGGACTCATTGTTATTAAAACACTCTAATCTGTGATAGTGAGGTGAGGAGCTAAATGGAATTCAGCCATGGCCATCACTAATTTTATTATTTACACCTATGCATTTCCTACTGTGACATAAGGCATACCACAGCTACAGTAGCCAGTCTATGTCCAAACTTTGAATATGCTGTCTTGTTTCTTTAATCCGTACACAATAAGTAATGTAAAAATGACAATTGGTGGTTACGTTGTATAACTGTCCTAATGAACAGTTTATCCATGCACTGGAGAGAAAGGAAATCCCTGTCAAACCATGCTGTTTTAGTCTGACAGAATGAAAAAAAAAGAGATACAAAGCTGATAAAGTTTTTTTAACTGTGGAGAGAACCAGGATAGCTGTTTCCCCACACTTTGGGTTTTTATCCTAAGCTCACTGCCTCCTGGCTCTATCTCTGTAAAATGCAAAGACATGAGAGGTATGAGTTCACCTAACTCTCAGAAACAAAGTAAATAGTGTATTTTCAAAATGTGCAGCCAAATTTGCTCAGTTAAAATCTCTCTGTAATGCTCACACTCATAATACGTCACCATTTCAAGTTCTGTACTAGCATTATGTGGCTACAGGTTTATTACCTTTTCATAGCGTGTCTCCATGCAGAGGAAAATGATGTAAGCTGTTGCACAAGCCAGACATCCTTCCAGGTATGACTGACCTCCAATTTTTTCAGCCTCCACATAGTAAGAGTTCAGGGTCTTCACTGTCTCCTCGAGCAAGGTTCGCTCAATCTACTTACAAAAAGAAACAAACATCCAAGTAGAGATAAGGAGAATTGAACACACAATACAAACTGTGAAAGTATGACAAATTAGTCTGAAGGGTGACAGCAATGGGACAGAAAGCATTAACACTGAAGTGAGGCAGATTTAAAAAACGGTTTCTAGTGGTCCCTTTATACTGACTCCCTGTGTGTTTCTGTGTGTGTGTGTGTGTTTCTTTCCTGCTCTGTGGGTATGGACTGTTTGTTAATTGCAATACAGCCCCTGCATAACACCTTTCACAAATGCTAATATAGCAAGAAGAGCAAATTTGCACCTAAAATAACTTTAAAATATGTGACAGTACAGGCATTGTGGCTGGTTCTTCTTCTTCAACTTTATCTTGCATCTGAGTTCACAGAAGAGTTTTAATATAGTTGTGACACTTTTATTTTGCTTCTGTCTGCTGAGTTAAAACTGCAGGATACTTGGTTTTCAGACATCCATCTAAACATTTTCAGGAATAACACTGCAGGATTTTAGAAAGTCTCCTCTATGTACATGTGCTAGTGTATAATTGAGCGGATTTACTTGCAAGTTAGTTACATTCACATGTGTTCTGGCATCCAGGATTCACCATTGTGGTAGTATATACTGGGCCATCACATTTTCCATATTGGAGAGTGGCGGTGTTCTTTCAGATGAGTTGGGATTTTGCAAACATTTTACATTTGCTTGTGTATGTATATAGTGTGTGTATTTGCACTCACCCTGTTGTCAAGCTCTGAGGGGAACTTGGTCTGGAAGCGACAGACGGTTCCTTCGGTGTAGTCTCTCTGTATAAACACTTTTGTTTCCAGGGATGCACTATGCCTCAGCTCCTGAAGGTTATGGAACTAACAGGAGGAGAGAGGCATTAATTTTGTGGTTCAAAATACATTTATTTACAAGAGTAAGTAGGTTGCGTTTTGCTTTTTTTTTAAAGACTAGTGCTAGTGCTACAGTATACTGTGGCTCCACACCAGATACAGAGAAATAAAATTTTACTTGTACAGAAAGTTCCAGTCTACCAAACATACTCCTGACTCTTTCTGAACTGATGGTGGTGATTTAGTGTAATATATATAATAAGTATGCAGGATGCAAAAAGCACCTGTGTGTAAAAAGGATTCCAGTATAAAGTCAAATCCCAGTTTTGGCCTTTTTCATTATCAAAACACTGTAGTTTAAAATCCACTTGTCTGCAGCAGCTCTCAATAACAAGACTTGTATAGTTATAGTGTATACATTTAAATAATATTACCTACAATTTTGAGTTGTTTTACCAGTCAACGGTGTTACACAGTGAGGAAATGGTACTACATTACATCAACAAGAGTACAAGTAGAGTTAGCACTCTCATTGCATTCGTCCTGCATCAATAGGCCAAATAGCAATAATAACAACACTTTGAAAGACTCCCCTTGTACAGTACATTGGTGTTGAGTGATGTGTTTTACACCCAAACAGTCATTCTACTGAGAGGCATACAGCAGCGAGCAAGTGGGCCAGAGTAAACGTGTCCCCTGCTGGTCTAAATTACTCCTCTCAAGAGGATGGTAATTAGAGATACAGTATGAGTGTGGAGGGAAGGAGGGAGAGAGAGAGAGAGAGGGATGAACAAAAAAGGGAGTGAGGTTTGTATTCATTTCAGTATTTAGTAATTTTTTTTCCTGTGAATATCACAGCCAACATTTGGTTAATTATTGCAGTGTTGTCATTACTGAAAGCAAGTCTGTTTATGAGGTTACCTGCATATATGAGCCCAAGAGTGCAATTTACATGTAAGCAGATAGCACAGTGTAAGGGTATCGCTATATAGGGTATATCACTCGCAACCAAGAATAGCATCCGGGCTGCTATTTTAGTCTGCTAACTGCCAAAATCATCTCACAGCCAATAGATCTTTCTGTCTGCCAAAGCTTTTAATGTCCTTCTTTTTGCATTCTCTATCTCTCTACACCGCACCCCCTCCCCTGCCTCCTCCTTGCACTGTCTTCATGTCATTATGCTGAACAACAAGTCACTCTATTAATAGAAGCAATTATCAGCACAAGATTGAGCAGCATTTATCCATGTGAGGTTCAGATGGCCAAGAGTCAGGTTCATTAAGATTATACAGGTTCTTTGTTTGAGTGTGAGAATGTGTGTGTGTGAAAGGTGCAGACCAGAGTCAAATAAGCAAACCTCACCAGTTTCCCTTCCATTGTCACATGCACTGCATTCAGGCCAGTGGGATGCCACTGTGTGTGAGCTACATGTACAGCAGCTCCCAGCCGAGCACAGCAGGCAGATCACAAGTTAAACAGTAAAGTATATTTATTTGTAGACTTTGTGACAATGATCATTTAAGTTCACTGCATGTCACCCAGTGTGAGACACGTCTAATAACATCTTGTACACCATCTATGCTAGACGAACACAACATCATTTTGAGGCACGGCTGACTGTGCAATGAATGTCATGAATCACAGTGCTAAGATGTACAGTAAATGGAACATGTTTTTGAGAACAAAGACAAAGGCAAAACAGCTTGTGCCCACCGTCTGCGCCACACTTATATTTTGAAAACGCAGCTTTGCAAATGTTTTCCTCTTTTCCATAATCCAGCAGACTTCTTTTTCTATTTTGAATCCATAGTTTTGGTTTCTGTTTTCTCCCTAAATATTATCAAAAAACAGCATTAACTAAATGTCACACCAACCAGTGCAATCTGCATCATTTCATGTCATACTCTGATTGGGTGGTTTGTAAACATGCATCATAGCAGCACTTATTTTGTAAGAATTTGGTCCTAAATGTTAGGAACGCTCTGGTAGGGAGGTGAGCGAGTAAAAAATGACGAACCCAGGTAGCTGACTTCGGTGCAAGAAGTGCTCTATTTATTTACAGTGACGATAAATATGTGTACAACCAGGTGAAGGAATACGGAGCAGAACCGGGTGTCGAGCGGCAGTCATGGAAAACATACAGTCAGTGATGGGATGATAAGGAGGAGGCCGGGCTGCGGACGCTAGGATTCACTCCTGGACTGGTCGTGGTGGTTGGTTGCTGAGGGGACAAAGTCAGAGAAACAGTTAATGGGAGACTGTGCATCGACCTGCGTGGTGGAGTGATGTGGAGTTGAGGAGGTCCGTGGTCCGGAGAAGTGATAGCGGGCAGGATCTAAAATAAAGGAGCGGGGAATCCAGGACCGCTCCTCCGGACCATAACCCTCCCAGTCTACCAGATATTGGAAACCCCGGCCCCTAGGGCGGACATCCAGGATCTGCCTGA